TAAACACTTATCAACAATAACTTCCCCAACCACGATGTCGATGAACAAATAAAATTTTCCTGGACGAAATTTGAAAAACATGGCGCCAGCCATTTTCTTCTATGTGCTATGTCCCTTCAGGGCGTTGGCGTTCATGGCTCTCCACAATTTCCCGTGTTTTTTAGCTCAATAAATATTATATATTTTTTTATCTTTATCTTTCCTAAACCTTGTGTCGCAATCCATTTACACAAGCTCGCCAGGTAGGCTATGCGTTGTTTAGCTTCAATCTTTCCAGTATGTATCAACTTTTACAAGCTTTTTTTTTATCATTATGCGCCCTAGAAATTTCACTTGTCAATTTCTAATATTAAATATGAATGTCTTTTGTATTTCATGAACTTTTCATGTAGAGTTTTTGTTTTTTGTTCCTGCATCTTCCCTTTCGCAATTACTTCGCTCCAAAGAATTGGGAGGTGACCATTCTCTCTTAAGCTCAAACAAAAACGATTACATTTTGCTGGCCACTGCCACCGAGCGGACATTCTTATGGCATCCTTTTGGAAGTGTCTTCTCGCGAAAATTGACTTTCCCAGACACCATAGCTTGAGACTGAGTGTCGGACATTGAGAATCTGGAGACAGCAATACAGAACCAAACACTGTGGAAAGTGATTGTGAATGGAGTTCTGACCAACCAAATGGAGGTCGAAGGATGATTATAAATGTCTTTTTTGTTCTCATTTTCTCTAAAACTACTTTGCTTACATATTCGACCCACGGTATCCTCAGCAACATTTCTGTTGCTTCAAGTCTCTTCTTCATCTTGTCTAACATTCTTTGCTATATAGGAGGACTGATATTACGTAACACTTCAGTAATATTTTCTTTGTTTCTAACGAAATTTTCCTGTTAATAGTTTGCTTAGATTTTGGAAGGAATCTTTCGCTATCCCAGTGTGCCTTCGGATTTCAGTGTCGCACTTTATGCCCTCTGTTAAAACACTTCCCAGATATTTAACTTGTTGTAATTGCTTGATTTCGGTATCTACTTGTAATTTGCATGTTGGGCTATTCTTTTTACTACCCTGATATTAAAAGAAAATAAAGACATAATTTATTCTACCGCAACAAGATGCATCCTAATTATAAACAGGATGCAGGGCCCATTAAAAAGATAATTCCCCGGTACATATCATTTAATGATTCCAGAAAGCACCTTAAATATATCATTGGCTTTAAAAGGTACAAAACATCTAGCCTAATCCGTACCAATAAGACGGGGCCTCAAAAATCTACCTCATGTAAAAAATAGTGTTGTTTATGAACTCTCATCTCCTCTTGGGAACTACGTCTTCAATATATTTGTCCTCGGTATGACGATAAAGTACATCCAGCAGCAAGGCCTCTGAACAGGAGGTTTTGAGGAGTGTGGAGCCACCCCTTAATTGCTGATGTTCCCAGGTTCAGCCAGACCCGGGGTGATGGGCAAATAGTTAACACCCCAAACTGGGGTCAAAACTTTCTGAAAAAAAATAAAAAATAGGTTTTAATACCAGCAATACATTTTTGGAAAAGAATTATTGCCAGCAATAAATTTTGGGAAAAAATTACGAGCAATACATTTTTGAAAAAAATCAGCATTAAAAATGTTGTCGGCATTAAATAACCCAGTGAGTTTGATATACAAACCAAACCAAACAATCTTCACTATCTACAATAATGAAACAACATTAAATTCTTACATCGAACAAACATACAATACACTTTCTCACAGGTTATTTTCATCTTTATTGCCATATTTACGACTTTTCGGACGTTGTACGCTTCGGCCTTCTTCGGATGATTGGAATTTCAAACTGAACCCTTTATTTCGTCCACCGGAGTATATTGTTCTAGTTCTACGTACTCCCAGATGTCTTAGTTGTCGCCCTTTAACTCAACTTTCCATGTTTTTTGGCTCACCAATGCTGTGGCCTGGTATTGAACTCACAACACTTTGTATCAAGTCACTGGATCCAACCAACGCTTTTATCCACTGGGCCATGTGTTCAGTCAAATTAAATGGAGATAACCCAATGAAAAACCCAATGAATAAAAAATATTATCCTACTCACTAACTCTATCACATCTACAACCGAAAATAATCTATTTAAACTCATCATAAAATTTGTTATTGCTACATCCCAAACAATAAGAGACTTCGTCAATATTAAAACAAAACAATAAGCTAAAATCTGAAGGGAGAGGGGGGGTTTACTCCATAACCTGTAAAAATTGTCAAAAAAATACATAGTAAAATCCTCAAGGAATATAAATAAACAATTATATGAACATAAAAGGGATATTTTACAAAACAATACGTCAAATTACAAGATTTCACCATTCCTGGCAAATCTTCTATTATCATAGTGTGGGATACCTACTAACAAAAGTGATGGAAAGAAAAGGAAAAAAACTCTAAATGAATTCGGCTAGATATATATAAAAAAATTTAATTCTAAAATCTCTAGCACCCTCCTTCGTGCACATATGTAGACGTACCAAGATAACAAATTTAGTCGGGTAAAGTCCTGAAGGACGAAACAAGTTAAAACTAAACTTTTTCCTTTTTTTAACTTTTTTTGTCATACAATTTCACCAATATATATATATATATATATATATATATATATATATATATATATATATATATATATTGGGCATTGATGTCAACACCCACGGCGACAATGTTTCATGCCTAAATGCAATCTTCCGGTCATGTGTGTTCTGTTTTAGCTCGATTATTTATATATACTGCTCAATAGTGCATTATGGGTTGAGTTACCATTGTATTATCCTAGCAGATATTAAGTGGGCGGCAACAGTCATGCTTCATTTCATATATATATATATATAATCAAGAAAACCTGAAAGATTCATTTTGGTTATAATTTATTCGTGAATATCCGAAATGAATCCTTAAGGTTTTCTTTATTATTATTATTATTATTATTATTATTATTATTATTATTATTCTCTGTAGTTTACAATGAGCTCTCTCTGGATTAATATCCTCCTTGTTATTATTATTATATATATATATATATATATATATATATATATATATATATATATATAAGGGAGAGACAGATATTGAGCAATGCTGCCAAAATATAACAGTATATAACTTTTCGAATGTAGGATGTGTAAGCATGTTAATGTTAAATGCATTTAAAGTTTAATGTTTTATCAAAGTACTTATGAACGTTATGTATGACTAATATTTGTTAATATATCTATAAGTCATATATCCTCTCTCTCGCAAACATATACACGCACACATGTATGTTTATATATATATATATGTGTGTGTGTGTGTGTATCTCTGTGTGTTTGTATAATTTGTATAATGTGTATGTATGCATGCATTCGTTGAGAAGGTCAGATTAAGCGGCCTGTTATATTAACATTTTCACGAATGGTTTCTATTTAGCATTTAACCGTTGCAAGTGTTCAAATTGAGAACATCCTAATAAGTGGGTTTGCCTGTTCAATAAATAATAACAGCTCCGGAAATGTTCGTCATCGCCGTTGTCGTCGGCATCGTCATAGATGGTAGAGGTAGTGAGAGAGAGAGAGAAAAAAAATCATAGATTTCGAGAATTATGTTCTTTTGAAATAGCGACGACCAAAAACTCCTTGTTTACATTTCTTTACATAATTTGTGCAGTTTATTTCAATCCCCCTTAAAGACTGTCACAACTACTGCTTTAGTTTGAACTTTGCATTCGAAAACATCATTTTGAAACATCGGTTCCCGTACGATTCCTAAAATTAAAAAAAATTATCGTTTTGACTCAAGACGTCAGAGACAGATGTTGGAGCTATAGCAGAGATTAAACCTTCCAGGCAATAACCCATATTTTTTTTACCTTTTACAGATAGCAGTCTTGTAAAATGGCGTCTGACATAAAAGTGCGCACGAAGCAGAGGTGTGTCAGTGAAAGAAATTGTCATTCATCAACCTTCTTCTGCTTTTAATGTATCCCCTCAAAACCTAGGTTATCATGGCTCTCCACAACTTCTTCTTTGTGATCCTTAGTAAGGTTTGTCTTTCCATGATCCCTTTTTCTGTCATCTATTTATACACACTCGTTAGGTAGGTTATCCGCTACTTTTTCCTGTCATTCTTGACTTCAGTATGTCCAGTGTGTGTCAAATTCTCCAAACCCTCTTTCTTCATTATAGGTCTTAGAAATTTCAACTTTGTCTTTCTGATTCTAAGTTTAAGTGTCGTTTTTCCTATCTATTCGCCTTAAAACTTATACAACTTCTTCTTTGTTCAGATGTTCAACCTATTGAGCTCTCAGTATCCTTCTGTAGAACAAGAACTCTCAAGTCTCTTTTTTATCTGTGGGGGTGACTTTGAGGACTTTGCTTGGCTTTTGGAAGAGCCCAAACTGTAGATGTAAGCACAGATAAGCGAGATAGCCTGAAAGTGCACATCCCTCATGACGCTTCTCCTAGACAAGTTGCCACACCAGTCCTGTTATTTAACATCATAGCTGAGGGGGAAGAAGAGGAGGATTCATTATTCTCCTGAGTCGCTAATCAATAAACTAGCAGAACATTCTCTTTCAGATTAAACATGAAAATAAATAGTGCCGAATGTGCATTTTATATTCAACCACGATTTTCATCAAAACTTAATCATTTGTAGTTTATGTTCACTTGTGAAAGAATCAGTGTCACTGTTTTTGGCGTCGGTTCTTTAAGGTTCGCTTTAGCAACAATAAATCTTCTACTTCTTTCCTCTTGTTTTGAATTGTCTATCTCTCGTGCTCTTACCATTCGTCCACCACAGAAGCCTACAACCCCCCCCCCATCACTTGACTATGCAACGATCGTAGGGTCTAAAACAAATGGTTCCTTCCCCACATAGGTAATGGGTTTTTTATATTCTTTTCGACGGTCGGAAGTTTCCATGTTACCAGCAAAATCTCGTAGTTGCGAGAATGTAACGTTCTTAAATATTCATCTTATGAGCGGCCATCTTTTTTCTTTTTTCTTTGAATTCTTTACATTCGATGAACGTGCGAAGTCTCTGTGCTGACAGTAATTTTTTTCTTTATTTGTTTTACCATTTATTTCTCCAAGCGCACCATTTTTTTCGAATGTGTGCATAGAGAAGCAATAAAGGGCTTCTAAGATTTCCCTAATATTGCGCATACATTTTATTGGAACTTTTGTATCAATCTTATAATTTGCACTAAAGAAATAAAATCGAATCAATCAGTAAATATAATTATGAATAATATTAGATTGAGTCATAAATAATTTCCTTTCTTTTATCAAATTCATTCTTCAAAAAATAAAGTTTTACATTTTATTCAATTGCAATTGCATTTTATTCAACTATAAATAAAAATAAAATAAAATTACATTTTATTCAACTACAATTTTATTCAATTATAATAAAAAATAATGTACAATTACATTTTATTCAACTACAATTGCATTTTATTCAATTATAAATAAAAAATAAAATACAATTATATTTTATTCAACTACAATTGCATTTTATTCAATTATAAATAAAAATAAAGTACAATTACATCACCCATTATTTGAAATGATGTGTTGCCGTTTATCAGGCAGCTCTTACATATTTTTGTGGTGAAATTCCGCAGGATTTTATATAAAAACGTTTTTGGCGAACCCTGCTCTGTGGAACCGACTCCCAAGAGAATATATTCCCAATCACAACAATCGTAACCTGTTCAAGTCTAATAAACTGTTTCTTACTATGTAATCCTTTATCTCTAGTGGCCTAGGGTAAACCTAACTATATAAAAAACAGTTTACCTCCCATCAAAGCGTTTTGCAGCAATCAAAAATGGTACTAATCGGTTGGCACAATGTTTGGGGGATTTGGAATTTGCGGTATAACAAACAAGTTCTACTTTTTTCTTTGTTACACTCATTGTATGCGGCGTTGTATTTTCCTAGAAGAGACAACATTTTATCCTTTTAATCCTTTGTGTACGCTGCTACTGCCGTGCAAAATATAAGGAACATTAGCGTAGTCCAAATATATTCAGCCATTTATGATTAGTGGTTAGGATGTGGTTCTACAGAAAGATGCTGAGGTTACCATAGGCCGAACATGTGAGCAACGACGAGGTTTTAGGGAAAATCGAAACAAAAAAGAAACTTATGCTTAACATCAGGAAGAAACGTTTGAAATTTCTGGGACAAGTAATGAGGAAGAAGGGCTTGGAAAATGTGATACTCACAGGGCATATTGAGGGAAAGAGGAAAACAGCGCGTAACATACTTGTTGAGCTTGGTAGAAAATGGTTTGGGAGAAATAGCAAAACGGCAAAATTTATTATGAGCTAAAGGGGACAGGAAGATGTGGAAGGCCATGATCGCCTACGCTATGAAGGGACATATAAAAAAAGAGTTAAGAGTTATTATTACTGGTTCACTCCCCCCCCAAAAAAAAACGGAAATTATGATTCAAGTTAATAATGTAACCAAAGTAAGAATTATAGAAAGATATTGCCTCTGTAAAACAGACTTTAACTTCAACACTAGAAATTTTCTCTCTGGCTTTTGCTGAAGAATAGGGAAGGGGTGTATTTTCTAATGTTTGTGTACATACGAATTTTTTACTAAATATCATCTTAAAAAAGAAAAAAAAAACCTCGTGTCATATTCCTAGGTCAGTATGACCTAATAAGCAGCCTCTTTTCAAAAAAGCAAAAACTATTTTGATTTCAATAACTTCTTTTTTTCTTTTTTTTTTTCTTTTGAAAGGTCGCTTTGTTGAGAATTCAATGTCATATTTGATCTGTAAATATCTTAAAATTTATCGGCACGGAAAGTGGGGTTACGCACTAACCTCTTTTGTTTACTTTTCACTAATCTCTTGGCTAATGGGAAGAATTCACTTCTTCTAGCACTGCCCTCGCACGGCTATACGTTAAATGGTAGGGTAGACTAGAATCTTTAGCTTGGCTTAGCAGCCAGTATAAGATGACAACTCTAAATTTAATACCACGGAGATATCAACGAGAAACAACTCTATCTTTCCGAATAAGTCATAAAAAATCATAGATATTAAAAGAAAAAGAAGGCGTGGAGAACCATCATTCCCTGAAAGAAATATTGAACTTGAATATGAATTTCGTTGCTTCTCCATCTTAAAGACGTTCTTCTTTAATATGTCACAAGTTCTTACTAAATTACTTTTGATTATTTTTAATTCTTTTATTTAAACTCCTTAAAAATTATTAAATTAAAAGTGAAAAACATTTTCCGTTTATGCAGATTCAGTAGATTCAAGAGAAATAAAATAATCTCCAGAGATATGGAGATTTGAGAAATGAATATAACCAGTGCTGAGTTGAAGTCTGAATGTTCGTTACTAGGCTCCATTATACCATTGCTTCGAAATGACTTGTCAAAGAAACAGGCCTTTCTAAAAACTGGTATGTGATTCGTGCCAGGAAATACCAGAGGTCTTCATCGAATTTAATCTCCATCATGAACCTTGGCCTAAGAAAAGTTTATATATGGTTACCCCAATATGTAGTGGAATCACCTTAACAGATACCAAAGTAAGTTCTGTACTTGGTGTCATCTCGGAAATTAAAAAAAAAGAACCCAAGTGTCATCCTAGAAAAAAAACTCAAATCCAGAGTGCAGAAACGGGTCCCGAAGGATATAGGTAGGTACCCCAACATTAACAAGAAAATGAACCCATCTGAACGCTCCTAAAACCTCAAATCTCCAAATCTTGATGCCGGATGTAGTTTATCGTCATGCCTAGGACTAATTTGGCAATGAAAAAAAACTCTGCATTCGACTTCACTAGGAAATATATTGGTCATCCAGCCATTTCTAATACATTACTCCCGCAACCCTTCATATGGAAGAGTATAGATTTACTCGGTTTGGGATTTGTGGTGGATATGCCGATAGTGTAACGGATATCGTCTCGGAAAGTCTTATCGGGGAGCAGGGTTCAAGTTGGATAAAAGTAAGTTATATAGAAAATACAAGGGGGTGGAAAAGAATCCCTCTCACCCTCACAAGAAGTTCGAAGAACGGCCTAAAGCCATGAACACTTGATTCGGCCAATGATTTGCCGATGTTCACAAGTAAATAATCATTTTACGTATGGACAATTTACTTTCCTATTCTTATCAGACATTAACATAACATTACAAATTCAGTATTTTGGATAACGATTGTCAATATTGGTCTATTATTCTTGTTTTGAAGATCAGTGCAATAGGATCTTCTTAGGTCGCATTTCCATCTTTTTTGTCCTTAATTTCAACTAAGTCAAGCCTTGTTGAAATCATTTCCTTTTGAAAATGATATACCAAGTTATAAAAATTGGAATTATTTGTTGCAAATAATATTTCTGATTTCTTCAACGCTTCCAGCAACCTACTTCAGTTGCCCTTGATCAATGCAAACTTTAAGTCTATTAGACTAAAAATAGAGGCTGGAAGATTTTGATACGCCAGTTCTTCAAATGGTTAAAAAAAAAAAAAAACTGACTAGTAAGGATAGCTGTATTTGAATTTTTTTTTTTTTGCTTTTACCTGGGTTCGAACACTGGTCTCACGCATCATAAGAAACTGTCGCAGCCACGTGGCAGGTTCTCGAGTGTCGTTGACTCAAGATGTAAAAATGTTTTGTTTTTAAGATTTTGTTTTTTGTGAAAAAAAATACATTTTTTTTTCTAAGGAAGCGAAATATCAAATTTTCTGTCTGTTAGCAAAAACTCTCTGGTTTCACTTTCTAGTCTTACGATTCTTTGTTCTGCATGCAAATACGCTAAAGTATGAGATTGCCTTTGGATGCCTGACTTAGTGAATTTCGTTTTATTTTTAATTTGTTCATTTCCTTTGTTTATTTCTCTTCAAATTTTTTTTTGGCTTTTTAGGGTGTTATTTTCATTTTTTTTTTTTTTTGTCTAATTCGTTTAGAATTTTGTCATTTTTTTAACATATTTCACGCTTTCATTTAGTTACTTCCATTTTTTCTTTTCTTTTCCTTTTATTCCCTTTTTCTCTCCACTGTCTTTTTTTATTATTATTTTATTACGACGATACTTTTATTTTCAGTTGTTTTCTTTCCTAAATAATTCTTGCTTTTCCTTTCTTTATCTTCTTTTTCTGTTTTCTTTTACTTTTCCTTTCTTTTTTGTTCTTTTCTGTCTTTTTAGTTCTCTTTTGTTCCTGTCTTTTTTTTTCTTTCTCTTTTATTCATCTTCCAATTTTTTTCATTTTTCTTTTAGTTTTCTTTTCTTTCTCTTTCTTTTCAGTTTCCATCTCATTCTCTGCGTTCATTCTTTCTTTGTCTTTTTTCTTTTGCGTTCTTTTTCTTTCCTTTATTCTTTCTCTTTCCTTTCTTTATTCTATTTATTTTTCTCTTTATTATTATTATCATTATATTTATCATTATTTATTTATTTATAATGTTTATTTTCATCTATCCTCTTTCTCTTCTCTTATTCTCTTTTTTTTTCTTTTTCGTTTTCTTTCCTTTCTTTTTATTCTTCCCTTTAAAATATTTTCCTTCTTTCAGCATTCCTATTATTGCTGTTTTCCCTATTTCTACTCCGTCTTTTATGACAACAATGCTCTCAGTCGAAAAAACAACAATTCTCAAATGGCGTGTAAGCTTTAATCAAATAATCATAGTGTAAATGCTAGATAAGCTGATGGGATTTATGCTCTATTTAAGGCTTCCCTGGTTGAAGGGATTCAAGAGTGATCCAAGAAAGACAGCCTCCCCAGGTGTGAGATGAGAAATTTTCCAATGTTATGCTGTTTGATCTTGTCAAAGTTTATCGGCCCAGAAGTGTAATGGAAGATGTGTTAACTGGAGGGACGGACCTCTGGAAATGAGATATGATACTTATTTTTTGTTACTCCAACTGAAGTGTTGTTGGTGCCTCTAAAAAATATGTTCGTGAATTCTTAGCCTATTTGCCAATTTTTCCTAATTAGCCGACAATGAAATCCGATGGCGGATTGGGATAGCGAAAGATGGCTTTCAAAAGCTAAGCATAATATTAAAAAACAGGAAAATTTAGTTAGAAACAAAGAAAAGAGTACTGAACTGTTGTGTAATATCGGCCCTCCTATATGGCAGTGAATGCTTGACAATCTCCTCACAGATAATGAAAAAACTTGAGGCAAAGAAATATGGTTCTACAGAAAGATGTTGTGAATACCATCGACTGAACATGTGAGCAACGATGAAGTTTTAGAGAAAATAAAAACAAAAATGATGTTTATACGCAACATCAGAAAGAGACAGTTGACATTTTTAGAGAATATGATGAAGAAAGAAGGCTTGGAAAATTTGATACTCAAAAGACAGACTGAATGTCAGAAGAACAGGGGAAAGCAGAGCATAAGCTACTTAACGAACTTGTGTAAATGGTTGGCAGAACAAGGATTAGGATATCTAACAAAAAGTTGAACTTTACTAAGGGCTAGAAAGAAATTGTGGAGAGCCATGAACGCCAACATCCTGAAGGGAAACGGCGCATAGATATTATAGATAAAGACCAAAGCCAATGAAGAACTCATCTAAAGAACCTATCTTCTGATATTAATATCTTCTCCAAATTCCCCTTTGGTTAAATCTAATTGTCAAGTTTTTTTTTAAGTTTACTACAAATTTTACCACTGTTCCGTTAATCTTGAATATCTTATGTTTTCTGGATTCATCTCAAGAGAATCATATCGTATGCATTCTGGATTCAAATCAAGAGAATCATATCGTATGCCCTTCTAGTCATGCCATTCTATTGAAAGATCATTTAAACTCCGACTTCTCATGCAAGTTTTTATAATGCCATCTCGCTTCAGGATATATGCGATCGTGACTCGACTCTTCACGTATCCCTTTCCTTTATTATCTGTGAATAGCACTGTTGCCCGTTGCCTTCTCCACAGTTTAGTTTAGAATTTCCCTTCCCTTAGACAGATTTCCAGAAAGAGAGTCGAATTTTCCATACTATTTAACCAATATCGAGGAGAAAAGAAACTGGTTCTGCCTGTCTGAAAGGCATTAGTTCGAAAGTAAATGCAGCAGTCAAACCCAGAATTTGAACCCAGCTCCCCGTTTCCAATTTCTGCAACGATATCCGTTATACTACCTGCACAGCCTACGCAAATTCCCAGTTTAATAAATCTATACTACCCCAGCTATAGGTTAGACAGCAATGTAAAGAAAGGAAAGCTCTGAGTTTAGTACTGTAGAGAAAACAGCCAGAAACAACTCCACTATCTTTCAGAAAAAGGAAAAGAAATTGTGGCGAGCCATCATCATCTGAAAGTATACAGTATTTTCCTTACAAACAGATTGCCACCCAAGGCTAAAGAGATCAGACTACTCTGCTGGAGGGCGAAAATTCGGATTCATGGCTTTCCCAATGACATTTATGTGAAAGTAAATGCGACAAAATAGCCTGGAATTTGAACTCGGCTCGCCGATTCCGTTTTCTACGCCGATATCGCCATATTGATTATGCTACCTCTACATCTGTAGATGCTTAATTTTACTAGAGATAAAGTGAAAGGTTATCTCATCGGTATTCTTATTGAATTTTAACAATTGGCTGTCGGCTGAATAATTTCAGTTGTCTCCCACATTTCTACTTATTTTCAAGGTTTTTCAAGACTGTTCTGAACACGCCAGCATTGATGAATATATTTGTTATTTTTAATTTTACAAGTTTTTAGGTTACTCTGAAAAGTCGAGATATATTTCCCAACATTTAAATTTCTTGCAATTTTACTCAGTGTCTACTAGAACAGTAATATCCCATCACTAATATTTTTTTTTCTCTTAGTTTAAAAGGGTTAGATCTGGTTTTATGACCTGGATTGGATAATCTGTACAAATTTCCTATCCCTATAGAATTTTCCGCAAACGTGAGCATTCGTTCCTGAAAAAAAATGAATGTCAAACGAACGTTTTTTCCTTTGACACCGCTATTATTTTAACCACTCCTCGGCGATGTGTGTTGATTTAAAAAGCGATGATTAGAATTATAATAAAACCTAAACATATGATGAAAGTGAATTTAGACATTTCTTTTTCTTCTTGAGAATTTACAACAAAAATATAAAACATTGCTTATTTATTAGATTCTTTATTTACAAGAATAATTTTATATTTACATTCTAAAACTCATACAATTAAAACTAATGTAATTCAATATTTATCGTTTACCAATTTATAAAACATTTTTTTTCATAAATTTATAAACATCTACTAAATTATTAAAATATGTGAACCAACTATAAAGAAAACTTTATTTACCAGTTTATAAAGTTCGAATCAATTGGTAATTAGCCGATGTTTTGCCAGTCATTCCAATGAGCAACAGAATAAGTAGTGTTTATTATTTTTGTGGCCAAGAAGAAAGAAAATGTATAAATACATAGTTTTATTACTATTCTAAAGATCGCTTTTTAAATGAATAAGTATTACCGAGGAGCGAAGGTAGTTAAAATAATAGTCAGTGGAAAAACAATATTTTGACACTATATTTTTGCGGACGCAAAGGTTCTAGTTTGTTAAATTTTCTTTATTAGGGATATAAAAGCAGATATATGACAAAGCAATTCATAACAAAAACAGGTTTAACAGCTAATTTATTGTTTTCGTTTATTATATGACATGCTTTCGCCGACATTTACTAACACGCTGTGTCTTACCTATGCTGGCTTTGATACAATTGAAAAAAAGTTGGGTCACTGTGTGGAGCCAAAAGTTTTCTCGTCAGAGTCCATCTTGTACATTTACAAATCTACCATTTTTCTGTGCATTGATTCTTCTGATGTTCCTGCTATTCATCTCGAGGTTCTTGACTAAATCCAAAGAAGGGTCTGTACTGTAATCGATCCTGACTTAGCATCTCGACCAGTCACTTTCTCACCGACGTGACGTGGCTTCCCTCTGTCTTTTTTACAAATATTTTCATGGTAACTGCTCTGACGAGTTTTTTTCTCTGGTGCCCCGACTACATGAATTTAAGCGGGCTACTAGATTGGTAACTAGGCCCCACCCGTTTTTCTGTTGAAATAGCTAATACTGCAGTTTCTTTTCTAGCACTTCCCGCCAGCGGAACTTCCTTCCGCTTACTTCCTTCCCTGATAAATGCAATCTTCAAAAATATAAATGCAATGTCAATCGACATTTTCTATCTTCTTGAATCCCATTCATCTTTTGTCCGTTCCTCAATTCTTTTCACTTTCACTCCCCATAATCCCCTGCCTATTAGTGGCATTTCCGTTTTGCATGGGGTGAAATGATTAAAAAAAATATTTCGTTCTTACGGAATTTTTTCTGGGCCCTCATGAATCGGGATTTGATTTTCTCTTTCATTTCTTTTTTTACTGCCATATTTCATTCTTCAGCTCGACCTATTTTCTCTCTTTTCACATTTGTCTTCTTCAAAACTCCCCCTCCCCATGCCCCACCCTTTTTTTTCCCCCAATTCTTTTCTTTATTCGCTGCAATCTTCAACCACTTCCCTTGCGCAAGTTGCAGCTCGAGGATGTTGGTATTAAAAATCACCCACAGAAGGTGTCCTGCATTCCGCTTCCTGCAGAAGTAAGTCGACCATTTATTGCGACCGGAAACATACGAACTGAATTTCAAGAGTGAAGAAGCCATGACGAGAAACAAGTGAAGCGTGTAAATTCTTCTAATCTTCCCACACCCCTTATTTTTTTCTCCTCTTGCCCACATTTCCACAGAAGGCGATTACTTAGTTCCATAAATGTAACAATATTAAGGATTGAAAGCAGAGGTAAAGATTAATACAAAGGTGATGTTGAAAAGTTCTCGGCCTAAACAACACCCCATAATTAAAGATTTTAATCATCAAGCAAAAAAAAAAAAAAAATAATGATTTCGAGTAATAGGTTTCGTCGAGAATTGTCCGACGTCATATTCATAAAAGACAAAAAAGCTGTGGGCTCTAAATCTGTCAGAAGTCAACGCGAAAGGTCTCCACTATCTTCTCAACAATGCATAACAATTTAGATTTATTCTAAGGAATCTGTGGAGTGTCATAATCACCTACATCCTGAAAGGACATAGCGTTATTTAAAAAAGGCACAGGAATCAATGTAAGAAAATCTGGTTAGAAAGATTATGGTAATTATTATTATTAATATACACTTTTAAATGCCAAATCTAGATGCGTCGTCAGTGTTGTTGCTCCCATGTCACTAGAAGTTTCGGGTCTAAATAAACAAGATTTCTTCGATGGGCGACCCGACCGAATATGATCAGTATTCGGCCCGCACCTAGAACAAAATCTGCCACTAGCTTTAGGACGTGCATTATATAAGTTGCCCCAGCAAACAACAACCAATCAAGACTTCACTTGGGCTATTCGAAGTTATAGATTAGGTATGCATGGTTGTATTGATCTTCCGACATGCGGCCAAGATAGTGTGTTTTTGTTTTTTTTTTTGGGGGGGGGAGAATAAAAGAAAACCTCCCCTTTTAACTTCTATAAAATAACTTATCTGTTTGGTCTTTTTCTTTTTATTCTTATTTTCTTTTCTTTTCTAAACTACGCTTAATAAAATTTACAATAGAGTGATTAAAATGACAGACTACAACTTTAAAAACTAAGAGAAAAATATTTAACAAAAATCGCTTAAAAATAAATTAATCAAAGTATTTACATGTTAAATACTAGTTAAAAAAAAAAAAAAACACGTGTAAATTTTAGATAAAATAAGTTACCCCCCCCCAAAAAAAAACTTATCCTTGCCGGAAGGAATTCGTTTAAAAACTAAGAGAAATAACATAACTAAAATTCCTCAAAATAAATGATCAAGATATTTACATGTAATCAATGTTAATAGTGGGAATTTCTTTACAAACTACACATTCGAAATATTGATTTTTTTTCGGCTAGTACACAAATTGAAATTATTCAAGAGCAAATATGCAATTTGTCTATGAAGTCGGACTTTAGATATCAAACTTGTGCAGCACAAGATGAAAATGCAGTACGAGTTACAAATCACGTGACAGTCGTTTATTCGTATTTATTCGTTAAAGCAATGCGTCTAAGCTTTCTCATTAGCTGTGCTTTATATACTCATTATAGCATACTCATAATATACTCATATAAATATAATACTTTCATATAATATAATACTTTTATCTCAGTCAGTTATGTGACATGTGTGATACACGCGTAGGCGATCATGTATCTTTCGATACATGACTACAAGGCAGCTTTTTTTCCCCGCAGCATGTTTTTCTGAGGTACACCAGTTGCCATCTAAGGCTATAGAACCCAGTCTGTCCTGCTATTTACCCATAGCTGGGGAGAGAAGAAGAGAATTCATACCTTTCCAAAGGTATTAGCACATAAGTGAATGCAATGGATTCGACTGGAATTCGAACTTGGTTCTCCGATTCCTCAATCCGAGCCACTATACATTACTCCACCGTGCTTCCTACTCATTGTAATAACGATAGATGTGGAGGAAAATTCTTTTTCAGTAGATAACAACACACGCCCCAAAAATAAAAATAAATAATTTACTCTATTTACACGCGGACTATTGTCCACATATAAATAGTGTAAATAATGATAACTCCTCATCACAGAAAGTCAAACAGAATAAATAAATAAACAAACAAATAAACTATAAAATTCAGTCGATTTTTTTAAAAAAAAAAGTGATTCCATTATGAACAGGAACCAAAAAATAAAATGTTTGAAATCTTTTTGAAATTCCATACCACACGAATTCTTAGAAATATTTATATTACTTCTGTGGCAAAAACTGATTTAAAAAAAGGGATGCTGACGAATTCCGAAATCAAAAACGTTTCTATGGGAGAAGAATAGATTATAGCAGTTCTCAAACCCCCAGCTCTTTCCTTAGTATCTTCATAAACCCGAGTAATACTGTGGTTTAGACAAACTCGAAACTTCATTGAATCTTCAGTTCTTCCGATTTCGACTCGAGTTTATGTGTGTGTGTGCGTGTGTATAGTCGACAACAGCACATGAGATTTGATTATAGTGGTGAAGGTTTCGTGCAGGACCAGCCACACTTTTGCAGGTTTTGAATTCAGAGTTGTCCTTCTCCTAGACTAGTTGCCATCCAAGGCTATAGAACCCAGTCTGTCCCGCTATTTTACCCATAGCTGGATAGGAGAAGAGGATTCACACCTTTCCCAAGGGTATTAGCACGTAAGTGAATGTAATGGATTCGACTGGAATTCGAATCGGCTCTGCGATTCCTCAATCCAAGACGCTATCCATTACTCCAGTGTGTGTGTGTGTGTATATATATATATATATATATATATATATATATATATATATATATATATATATATATATATATATATATATATATATATATATATATAAGTTAAAGAAATAAGTCCTCTCTACACGAAAATTTCTTTATTTCTTTCCTGGACGAGGGACTGGTATTTATCTTCACTTTCAATCAATCAGATCTGGCTTTCCTCTTCAAAGACCCTCAGTATTATACATATTTTTAATTTTCTACAACAGCTAATTTTGGCTCATATTTTAATAGCTATTTCATCTGTTTTAGAAAGCGAAGAGAAAAACTATAACAACTTTTCTTTCTGTTCGTAGAACAAGAATTTTGCGATTAGGTGGAAAATCATTTTGAAAATTTACAATAAGCTACTGCTGTTATTTTATTTATTTATTTATTTATTTATTTATTTTGGCTACATTAAATATCAGGAAAGAGGCAGTTACCAGGAAAGAGGCAGACACGCCAAAACAGAACAGTCCTACTAGAACGAAAGAAGAATAGTTTCCTTTTTCTTCTTTAAAAAAATGTAAAGTTTGAATTGCCGTTACAATACGTGTACATTGTTTACTGGGTGATAAGCTTTGTTCTGTATTTAAACCAAGATTTTCCAGATTTAGGGCGATTTTAATAAAAAAAAAAAAAAAAAGTAATACCAAATATAAAGGAAAGAAAATGAAAGTGTCTGCTGATAGCAGACGAGGAAAGAATTCTATATTTTCCTGAAATACTCAGCATGGCTCATGTCTTTATCCTGATTTTAAAAGAAACGGCTGTTGATAGATAAGACGCCATTATTTGAAAAAAGAGAAGCATCCTTATTTAATTCTTTAAAAAAGATCTGATAATGGATGATTCTTATTATTAAACTTAGAATTGATTGACATAATGGAAAAAAATCAATATAACTTGTTTCAACCTTTAAGTTTTCAGACCGGCTCCAGTCTGTTGAACTCCTTTGTCGGACGAAAGTTTTGCGCCGAAATGAAGTGGAAAGATTATATTGAATCACTTTCTAGATCAGCTGCTAGGAAAGTTGGTTTACTGTGTCGTGCCAGACAATTTTTCTCGTCTGTATCCCTCTTACATATTTATACGTCTACCATTTGTCCATGCTTTGAATATTTCTGCCACATATGGTCTAGTGATTTTATTATATATATTTAGAGATGTTTGATAAAATACAACGATGAATCTGTAATGCTATTAGTCCTGACTTGACATCTTGGCTTCACACACTTTCCCACCAGCGTAATGTAGCTCGCCCGTGCCTTTTCTATAAATACTTTCATGATAATTGTTCGGATGAACTTTCCTGTATTGTTTGGGGACTAGTAAGGACTTTATTGAGACTCTGAGGTACTGTGGTATCTGTAGTAAGAATATTAAAAATGAAAGTACTGTTTTGGTGGCAGGAATATTGTGGTATGTTTGGATCAGGGATTGTGGCTACTTTAGTTTATATATAAGACACATATAGACCACTCTCACCCATTCCCTTTGGCCTTTTTCATCTTTCCAAAATAAATATCACTTTCCTCTATTGTACACAGACTATAAATTTAAGCGCAGTACTAGATTGGTAGCAATGTTTCATTTTACAGCGGAAATGGTTAGATGCAACCATAAGTTCTATGCTAATACTTTCTTTACTCGCACTTCTCGCTTGTGGAACTCTCTTCCGGCATCCTCCTTTCCAATGTTGGCCTTCAAACGTTGAAATGAAATGTCAATCGTTATCTTCTGTCTTCTTAATTCCTGTTCTTTTATTGTTCCCGCTCCTTAATAATATTTTCTTTTTCTTATATTCTTTCACACTTAGTAACCTCCTGCATTTTTGTGGCTTTATTGCAATGAAATGATTAAAAGAAAATTTAACGTTTTCTATGATTATTTGTTTTACGTTTCAGAGCGTAAAAAATCCTTTTTTATCTGCTGGAATGTATATAAAGAGATTATATTATATAATACTATCCGTATCTGTGGAAATTTCACGGTTCTGCTATTTGAATTTACTGATGAATCATCATTCTGAATTTAATGATTGTATAAGCTGCTTGCAAGTTCCACAACCATAAAACATCCGTGGAAATTCCCCTATTGCAATGTTGACTATTTGAGTCCATAAAAAATATTGCAATAACACTCATAAGAATGGATATAGGTCATTATTTAACAAAGACGTTACAAATGAAAAGATTTGAACTTACTAAGGTTTTTTTCTTTTCATTGAAGCAGTTATTATCTTACCTTTCTTTCTTTCGTTCTTTCTTTCTTTCTTTCGTTCTTTCTTTCTTACTTTCGTTCTTTCTTTCTTTTGTTCTTTCTTTCTTGTTATTATGAATATTTCTATTTTTTCATTAAAATCCAACAACGTCTGTGATGTTTCTTTTTCTTCTGCCTTTCTACACAATTAAAACAGAATGGTTTATTATCTATAGGTAGGTGCATCGAAATAGCAAAGATAACTTCCATAAACTATGCAAAGTGTTTAGATATAGGTAGATAGTGTTAGAAACAAAGGGGAAAAAATTCTGAACTGCAATGCAAATATCGAATCGCCAATATAGCAGCGAATGTGGGATAATTTCCTCAATGATAAATAAAAGAGACTTGAAGCGACAGAGATGTGATTCTATTGACATATGCTAAGAATATCATAGACAGAACATGTGAGAAATGTGGAAGACTTAAGAAAAATAGGGACAAAAACGTTAGTTATACTTGCAATCCAAAAACGACAGCTGAGGGAGTTATAATGAGAAAGAGGGTCTAGAGGATTTAACACCCACACTACATACTAAAGGCAAGATAATCAAAGGGAAAAATCAAATAATCTACTTTAATTTTCTGTGAATGGTTGGCATAACGGGGAATGGTTACGGTTTAAAAATTAAAAATGGCAGAGAGGAGTGGTTAAGGGTTTAAATTTATTTTTTAATCAATTCACCCCAAGAAAGGCGATAATGCTACTAAAACGCAAGAGGCGACTAGGAGTGAAAAAGAATGAGAAAACTTTACAAGGAACCGGAAACCCAATCCTAAGCAGGAAACAATGGATAAACTTCTACTCCTGTTCAAAAGACCGGGAGGAGTGTGAACCGGGCAATAGGTGAATTAGAGCAAGAAGTTGTGCAGATCCGTTATCGTTCATGGCCTAAGATGACTTGACACATCAAAGAATCTACCTTCTATTACTGAGCCCTAAACTAAACTATGTTTTGGCGTAAATTGGTTTGCTTTACGGCATATCAATTTCCCAGGTTATTTAATGCTGAACTCTTTCGTTTTGATAAACAAGAGATAGATAGACAGACGTTTGGTTTTTACGAGATAAAAAGGTAGACATTTGTATCGTGTGCACTAATCAAAACGGTCAAAATAAGTACATTCAATAGGTGGGTCCTTTTGGGTGGGTTAGCCATCTGCACAAGGACAGGGGGATTACGCAATCAGTAAGTATCTGTAGTAATGCTTATGCTACAAAACCACATTCATTCATTCGTTCCAAAGCATTTTATGATTTTTACAAAAACCCATGATATGAACGTTTTCATTTCAATATCTGTGAGAATTGTTCAAATTCAGAATTGCATTTTTTTTAAATTCTTTACTGAAATCTATGCATTAGATCTTTATCAAGAAACTCAAATTTTATATTTCTTCAGATGGTATTATCTTGACGAGTACACACCTTGCCAACCGACTTGTGGTAACAGCTCGCAGCAACGACTGGTCGAATGTGTCGAGGAAAACACGCAACAACCAGACCAGCACATTTTCTACGCAGTCCCGGGCAAGTTCTGTATGGGCCCAATGCCCCAGATGCTAAAGTCTTGTACCAGCGCCGATACATGCCAAGCTATCTGGGGGTTAAGTCCTTGGGAAAAGGTAAACCAGTAGCAAAATGGTTGCATTTTTTTGTTTTGTTTTATTTTGTCTTTTTAAACAAATTTTTAAGACTTGTCTTGTGTTCATGTTCATTTGATTGAAAATTTATAAAAGTCGCAGTAAGTCAATTTAAATTCTAAAATATTTTTTCAGTCGAAATGAAATCTAGGTAAAGCATTTAAAGAATTTAAAAATTCAAAATAATGATGTATCATTAAGTGTTGCTCCCAATTTTCTTTTAGTCATTTCACCCTAAGTAAGGCAATAAAATCACTAAGACGCAGGGGGGGGGTTACAGTATTAAAGAGATAACAATAAGAGAATAGAAAGTAAAAATACAAAGATAACGATTGACACTGCATTTAAATTTTTGAAGATAAAAGTTGACTGAGAAGTAAGGAGCCAAAAGGAAATTCCACAAGCGAGAAGTGCGAGAGAAGAAACTGTTAGCATAGAACTTACGGTTACATCTAGACATTCCAACTATAAAATGATGAGACCTAGCCGCCAATCTAGTACTGCTCTTAAATTCATAAAGTCTAGGTAGCATAGTGGAAAGTAATATTTATTTTGAAAATACAAAAATATGGCACAAGGCCAAAAGGGGGGGATAGGGAAGATTGATCTTCAATCTGCATTATCTTAAACTTAGCTAGCCACGATTACTGACCCAAATATACTACAGTATTCCTTACACAAAAACAATTCATTCTTACGTACCATTCTTGCGACAGTCACTATAATACCTCAGAATCTCTATGAAAGCACAGAGGAAAGATCGTCAGAAAAATTACCATAAAAATATTTGTAGAAAAGGCATAAGGAAGCTATATTACGGCGGTGGCAAAGTGACTGAAGCTGAGACGCCAGTAAACAGCTTGTAAACAGCTACCTGACCCCGTTTTATACGGAGTCTACGGTGAATTTTTGGCCGAGCCTACGGGCTTTAATACCCCACATTAAATTCGTCTTTGTGCCACATCTGACCGCGTGGGGCAGTTGGTAGATATCCTGCAGTTGATTCATTGTGGAATTTACTCGACTTACTTCTAGCAGTTGATGACTACTTCTCCTGGTCAGAGGCCTTGCTGTTGGACGTAGTTTATCGTCTTATCCTGGACGCGGATGTAATTTATCGTCATACCCGGACGGTTGTGTTACGGTGGGAAAGTTAGTAAATAACCTCATCTGTCCTCGTTAAGTCCGACAATTATGTAATATATTATCTCTTACACGTTATTTTTATAGATACAATTTAAGTAAATGCTCCGTTTTTAATGATATTATATATATATATTTAATATATTATATATATATTTAATGATATATACATATATACATATACATATACATATATATATATATATATATAATTATTTATTTAAAAATATGTCGCGAGTTGGAATCATATTTTTAAATAAATAATTATATTTATGCTCTACTTTTGTATCGAGCACTATATATATATATATACATTCAAACAGATAGATGATCTTGTACGCAAGAGATTTCTTTTTAGACATAGTCTTTGTAGAAACTGTACAAATGATTTTTGTTGTGCTGTTGCAAATGGTGAATAATCTCTTTTTCGAAGTCGTCAATCATGGCTCTCCACAACTTCATATCCCTCTTAGTTACTTGTGTCTTTTTGCCATCCTTCCGCCCCTCCGTCCCTCCGTCCGGTCACACACCCCTGGGTCTGGTAGCTGACCAGTTATCTCCCATTGTTCCTTTTGCCTTCGATATCCCTTGTAAGTTTCCATTTATCCAAGCCCACCTTTCTCATTGTGCGTCTTAGAAATTTCAGCTGCCTCCTTCTTATTCTGAGTATAAATTACCTTTTCTTTCAATTTTCCTTAAAACATCCATGTTGCATACATGCTCCGTCCACGGTATTCTCAGTATCCTTCTGTAGAACTATTACTTCCAGTCTTCTTTTCGTATGAGAGGAAATTTTCCAGCATTCACTGCCATATAAGAAGATTGATATTGCACAGAATTTGAGTGCTCTTTTCTTTATTCCTAATGAAATTTTCCTGCTCCTTAGTATTTTGCTTAGCTTTTAGAATTCATCTTTTTTTTTATTCCAATGCACGTTCGGATCTTGATGTCGCATTTTGCATTCTGTTAAAACACTTCTCAGATATTTAAACTTTTGTTCTTGTTTCATTTTGATATCTTCAATTCGATGTTCGAATCTTGAATTTCTTCTCTTGCTGACGATGGATTGATAGCTTTCCTTTAACACCTTGTCTAGGGGGTCCTTTAGTTTTCCTTTTAAGTCTTTTCTGAACACAGTGTCATCTGCGTGTCGTGAGTTAAGATTGCGTCCAACGATAAAAATCCTGGTAGGATCACCAGTTCCCTTAGAATAGCCTTGTTGTAGAGTTTGAATAAGTTATAATATCAAAATGCTAAACACGGTACTACCTCTAGTGATTAATGCTAAACAATTTTATTGTTCCTGTTGTGGTGTCTTCCCTCTAATGAGGCTATTGTGGATTAGTAGGAAAAGTAAGCCACGGGGGATCAGAGAGGATCCCGGACGAGGCTTTGCCGAAGCCAAAGTTTCGTCCGGGGGTGGGGAGTAGACAGACCCGGACCCGCTTATGCGAGTCCTACGGGAATATTTTTGTCCGAGCCTATGGGCTTGGAGAAATCACGGTAAATTTGGCCTTGTGCCACATACATCCCTCGGATGTGGGGGGGGCGTGCTGTTTAATATCAACAGTGCTCTAAACTGTTCTACTGAGGCTGTTCGCAGCTCCTGTCGATCTCTCTGCCTTGGGCAGAGAGGAACCCGGACGACGCTGTGCCGAAGGGCAGAGTTTCGTCCGGGGAGGTTGACAGAACCGAACCCGTTTATGCGAGATCTACGGGGATTTTTTGGCCGAGCTTAACCTCAGCCTTGTGCAACATATATCCCTCGTGGGGTGGATGTTTAAATATTAACAGTGATATAGACTGAACGCTGGTCTTCCGACACCCCCCCCCAAGTCGTGTAACACACTTCTATTGTATTTACTGTTCAATACACGATTTATCTGCAACCTCTTGTTTTGTTATCTCTTAAACAATTACTTGGTCACAACATCTTGGCGACGAAGGATTTGAAGAAACGAACTTCACATTAAAACCTAAAAAAGATTGTTGACAACATCTTGGCAACGAAATACTCGAAGAAACGGTCTTCCCATTAAATCATAAATTTTTTCCAGTGTCTACAACACTGGTGAAGAAAGAAACCCGACGGCAAAGGGATATCCAGTGTTAATTACTACACTGTCAGTGAAAAAAAAAAAGAAACTCCGTAAAACAATAGGATTTCTAAAAGTTCAGTTCAATGGAAGAGTCCACAATAGCCTCATTAGAGGGAAGACACCCCAACAGTTCCTAATTAAATCTCTATCTATAAAAGGCAGGATGTGTGTGTGTGGAATTTTCGACGGATTTGCACCAAAATTTACATGCACATGCTCAAAGTTAGCGGGAAGGCCAAGACCGACTTTGCATTTCCCAACTTCCATTGATAATGGAAAAAAACGATTTTTTCATGCTTCTACAGCAGTTTTCATGTAGTTTGCGGCCATTTTCTACTGGCCAGTGTGAGAGCCTATAGCTGGCTGCCACGAATAGGCAGGAAGATTCCATTGGCCAGCGTGAGAGCCAACAGCTGACTGACACGAATGTTAACTAGCATGCTAGCATGCAAAAAAAAATCGATACCTGCATTTGTCAAAAGTGGGAAGAATTTAAATCTGCATGGCACTTTACTCCAATTGGCTCATTCGCTTGCTTAAACTCAACGTTGATTCTGATTCCGCAGAACTGGGTTGAGTGTGAAAAAGTATTTGTTGTTAACATTCTTTTTCCATTTGGTTTTTCCAGTTACGAGTCCTTTTTTAAAGCTGATCGTTTTGTGTTCATTTTGTTTAGTTCTTTTTTCGTAACAGATTTAATGTTTCGTATAGAGCTTAGAAAAATTCGCAGTGTGAGATAGGCAAGAAGTAAAGCATGTAGCAACATCAGCACGGAAAAGGGCACTCCTTTAAAGGCAAGGAAGGGCAAAAATATTTTAAGTCAAGTGATAGCAATTGCTTTATGAGCTGTACGATTTTTGAATCAAGCACGGGCAACGCCGGGCCATGCTGCTAGTTTATGAATAAAGGTTAAATTGAAGAAAACAATTAACTTATTAATAAAGAAATTAAATATCATCTTGTGATATAAACTCACTGATTATCCTCGCTTGTCATACTCTTCAACTTCATAATAATACTCTTTAATTTTCTTTCTAGTGCTCTGTAACCTGTCATGGTGGTATCCAGAGACGAACAATCACGTGTCAGAAGACATTACCGGACGGAAGCACAGTCAGCGTCAGTGACACTGAATGCGCGGACATACCCCGCGCACGCTCTGTTCGAGTTTGCAACTCTTTCCCGTGCCAGTGGCCCAAAATACGCGAACCAGTGTGGAAATTCTTCCAGCTGACTCAGTTGGACCACGTCAACCTGTTCACCGGCTCCCAGGCTTATATTCTACCTGGAACCGCGCTCCACATACGCTGTCTAACCAGAGGAATCGATCGAAATTCGATCATGTGGCTGAGAAACAACCAATCGATGGACACGAACAGCTCAGACGTGAACCAGCCAACGTACAAGTCGCGTCAGAGAATCTTCATCCGGACGTTTTACAACGTTTCAGGCTCTATGAACTACACGTGCAAAACGGAAACCTTCCACAACAATGTCACCAATGTTTTGTCTTCGACACTGACCGTCTACTTCATCAATCTTGCTGATATCTTGCCAGCTAAAGACGAACGGGGGCTCTACCTCCCCAGTGTGCCTTCATTGCCTTACCCACGAGTGACGGACCCTTATGATAAAGTGAGGAGGAGGGTTCAATATGTCCCGAGTAAGTGGTCGCCGTGCACAGCCCGGGTTTGCAAAAGATATGGACGCCAGGAACGTAACGTGTCCTGTGAAATCATCACCAGTCAATATATCGAGGAGTTACCGCCAGTTGTGTGTAAAAAGGCCAATTTGAAACGACCAGAAAAAATACGAAAATGTCGGACCGATTGTTTTAAATGGATTACATATGATTGGTCGAAAGTAAGTAATTCTTTGATCTTGCACATCTTCATATTTTTTTACAGTAAATTTCACCCTGTACTAGACCCGTAGGCCAAAAGAGATAGGGGGTTATGTTAGGAGGCAGTTTGGATGGAAACGAGAGGAAGGTAACAGTTAACCGTAGATTTAAAGAGGTTAAGATTGTGGTGATCGGGGAAAACATCCTCTATGAAAAACGGGCATACGCTTGACACCTACCATAGTCTGGGGAAGGATTTCTCCTTCAAGCAGCGGTTGAAGAACTTCACTAGGATCAGGGTTAATTCCAGGCTGGAATTTTGTCTGGAGCATTGGCTTTCTTATGCCCAAGGCCTTTGTTAAGTCTTGAGACTTCTCATGCTGTAATGGTAATATTAATGAGATGGTGCTCAGTGGGACGAGGGAACTTGGGGAGGGGAATGACTTTGTCATCTAATGTTGAATTAAAGGCAAAGATGGAGGTGAAGAGGTTCCCCCTATCTGTAGATGGTAATTCCAGGTTGATGTTCCTAAGGACAACCACTGGAATTTTGTCTGTACCAGTGGCTTTCTTATGGTCAAGGCCGTTGTTATGTCTAGAGACTTCTCATGCTGTAATAGTAATATTACTGCGATTGTGCTCAGTGAGACGTGGGAAGTTGGATGGTCTTTATCGTCTGACGTTGAGTTAGAGGCAAAGATCGAGGCAAAGAGATTTGCCTTGTCTGTCCAGGAACATATAACCTCGGGACCATTTATGAAAGAATTCTTTCATGCTGCTTGCTTGATTTTGTTTAAGCGCATATCAATCTCTATGGGTTATTTAATTCCGAAATCTAAATCTCAATATTTTAATATAATTTTATGGCTTTAACTAAATATATTTCGAACGCAAATGTATGCTTTCAATTAAAGATGAAATGTATTGTGGGTCATTTTACTATAAATAGGTATTATTGCTAATTTCAATATAAATATGTATTGATTCCATAACTGGGAAACTAGTGTAGTAAGCCTTTGTACCCCACCTTGTCGAAGACCTTTGAGATATCTAGAGCTATGGTCCTCGAAGTGTGATAGTCGTCAAGAGTCTCACTGATTCTCTGAGTGATTCTAGTTAGGACGACAGCAGTGGATCGGGCCGACCGAAACACATACTGCTCGTCGCTGAAAAAGTCTGTGCTCGACGACCTTCTCATTGATTATGGACACAAAGAGCTTGCTGATGATACTGAGGAGACTGATGGGTCTGTACTGGGAGAGGGAAGTCCGCACACCCGCGTTCTTGAAAACCGGGTATACACTTGTCACTTTCCACGGGCTTGGGAAGGATTTCGCCTTCAAGCAGCGGTTGAAGAACTTCGCTAGGACCGGAGATAATTCCAGATTGATATCCTTAACAACTGGAATTTTGTCTGGGCTAGTAGCTTTCAGTAGTCAAGGTTTTAATAAGTCTTGAAACTTCTCGTACTGTAATGGTAATATTACTGAGATTGTATTCAATGAGACATGGGAAGTTGGGGAGATGATGATCTTTGTCGTCTAGTGTTAAGTTTGAGACAAAGATCGAGGCGAAGAGCTTCGCCATGTTTGTCAAGAAAGATATGACCTCGGAGCCATTTATAATTTTGGGAACAACCGCTTTATTTCTGTTCATGATTTGGTTGGTGATCTTCCAGAATTCGCGGGATCCAATTTGTTTCTCTTCAACCTTTGGCCTGGACAGCTTGTGTAAAGCTGCACTTGGCGTTTTCTAGAAATTTTTTTTTTCAGTGGATGCGTGCATAGAATGTGTCTGTGTGTACCTAAGTATATACGGATGTATTTGTGTGTACGTATGTATGCATGTATATATGTATGTCTGTGTGTAATTAGTTGCTTATGTATGTATATGATTGCGTATGTAAGTATTTGTGTTTATGCATTAGGTGTGCATAAAAGTACTTAACACCCTATTTTTTTTTCTTAAAATAGACACTGAACCTGATTTCTCTTTAGGATAAGGTTCATCGAACTTGGGCACTTCGACGTGGTGTGATAGTTAACAAGCTTCTCGCAAAATCATTTACGACTGATTAGTGAGTTCGATACTCACTACGTGCCACGTACTTTTGGCTTTGTACCACATCAAAGTTACGCTTTGAACGCCACCGATAAGAGGTCCCCTTCATGAAATCTTCGATCCCTCATCGACCCCCCCCCGGAATATACGAAAATATAAATAATAATTATCTTTATTTAAAGGTCGAAATTACTTTGTCCTTTTCCTTCATTATTATTTCTTGATAAGATTCATTTTAGCTTTACGTTTTGTTGTGGTCCCTTTTTGAATTTCTATTTCTCTTCCGATACGTGACGTGTTTGATGTTGCTGTTGTTAATAATAATAATAATTATTATTATTATTATTATTATTATTATTATTATTATTGTGTTAACTCAAAATGCAGATTCTGTGATAAATATCCAGAAACAAATGACCATCTTTTATCAGTTTGCAAGGTGTTAGCATCCACTGAATATAAATCTCGATTTGATAGAGTGAGCCAATATCTGCATCTGAAAATATGCAACTTTTGCAGGAAGGAATCTGCAAGAAACCGTTATGAACATCACCCAGACCCGCTTACAGAGATAGGACCTGTAACAATTTTATGGGACTTTACAATGCACACAGACAGATAAATCAATGCTAATCTCCCAGACAATTGTGATCAAACACCACAAAAACAGAATGTGCTTTCTTATTGACATGACAGTTACATCAGATTTTAATGCATCAAGGATCTTAAAATAGAAATCTCGAAAGTGTGGCAAATGAAGACATCAATAATTCCAGTTGTAGTTGGAGCCCTCGGATTGAGAGGAAAAGGTTCCGATAGATTCACTGAAAGGATTCCTGGTAACCTATGCCTTAAAGAAATACAAAGATTGTACTCACAAGTACAGCTCACACATTACGAAAAGCTTTATGTATGTAAAATGTATGCAATCTTAGTAGTTTTGAGTTTGTTTTTTTTTTTACAAAAATGATCAGTGAAAAATATCATAAAGCCATTTCTAACTTTGGGCTTCCGGTTGGGACCCAGGACCCGGATGTTAATGTGTATACAACAGAAATCGAAGGGAGAAATAATAATAATAATAATAAAGCTTTCTAAATAATATAGGTACTAATAAATAAATTAAAAATAAATTAATATGCCTGTTAATTGAACTTGTTTAAATCATTAATGAGAAGGAGCTGTTTGATGAGCAGTAACAAGGGCTATTTGATTGGAAATTGATGAGTTTTAGTCGAAAGTCAGCACTATTCATTAATCGATTCCCTTTTGTCCCCACGGGCATTCATCGACCATATTCAAGGCCTCTTCTTTAAGATATATGCGAACATGGCTCTCTACAGTTTCCTTTTAATTCTGTACATTGCCTTGGCTTACGGCCATATTACGTCGAAATATCGGTTCCCGTACGATCACCGAAGTTAAGCAACATCGAGCCAGGTCAGTACCTAGATAGATGACTGCTTGGGAATACCAGGTGCTGTAAGATGTACAGGTGGTGTAATGGATAATGGCACGGAGTTGTTAATCGGATAGCCGAGTTGGGTTCGTCATATTCACTTACACGCAAATATCCTTGGGAAATGAATGAATCCACCTCTTTCCCCTCCAAGCTATGGGTTAATTAGTAAGACTTGTATTACTAAATCATTATTACTTGTATATTCAACTAAAATATTCTTACAATCAAAAAATATTTTCTGGCTTTAAATAACCGTAGAAAACGAATCAATCAAAGTACATCGGTTTGATTGTAGTTTAGTAAAGATAATGGGACGGTTTCGCGTTACCTTTCCTCTTTTGAATTCAAACTTTCCTTTCTAGACTGGTTAGAAGACTTTCATGCTATTTGACCAATAGATAGAAATGGGGAGACAGATTCATGCCTTTTGCATGTGAAGTGAATACAAACTCTCTCAGCCTGGATTTAAACCTGGCTCTCAGATTATCTGCATAATTTTCACTTACATTCATATAACACAAACATGATTACATTCATGTAACACAAACATAATTACATTCATATAACACAAACATAATTACATTCATATAACACAAACCTCATTCATTCTTTTATTGAGTAAACACTAACAAAAACATCGATAGACTTGAATATGCGGCAAAATAAGTCAACAAATAAAAAATATGCTGACAACTATTGCAGATATATTTAATATATACATGTATGTTTAATTTGCTTAGAATTTACATAGCGTAAAATAGTGAAAGTTTGAATAATGTTTTACACTACAGTTCAAAAGTTTGGGGGTAACCCTCGTATTTTTTAAAAAATTGGCCCCAAAAGTATTTGTTTTGTACTTTAAATAAGAGAAAATCATTATACGTTGTTAAAAAAGTGAGACATTATTTATTTTTATTAAAAATTTTAGATTGACAAAAAGAAAAAAAAACATTTTGTGATTAAATTTTGCTCGCGTCAAAACTTTAAACTTTATTACTCCAGAACAAATTTTTGGCATGCATTGCAAATGTTTCTCTAAGTATAAGTTTGATAATTGATTCCATTCTTTTTTCAATGACTCTAAGAACTCTTTTTCATTTTGTTTTTTTCATTCTTCTGACAAGTACATCATATGCTAATTCTGGGGTTGGCTTCAAACTTTTGAACTGTAGTGAATATATAAAGTTTTTGTTTTGTTTTTTGTTTGTTTGTTTGTTTGATTAATTGATTGATTGATTTGTTTTTGTTTTGTTTTGTTTTTTAAAAAAAAAGCTTTTAATTAAAGTCCAGATAAGTTTTTATAATATGCAAATTTAAAGTAAAAATATTTTTAAAAATTCATGAAAAATTAAATTTGGAATAGCCAAAAATTTAAAAACAATATTTGAAACGTTAAAACCTCTAAAGCGGCTTTTATACTCTTCCGTATCTCTCTCTTCCTCTCGCATACGCCCACGCAATTTATTTGTCGTTCTTCCCCTCCTCTGTGTTCTACAGCCATTCATGACTTCCCCGATCACCATTCTCCACAGGTTCCCCATTGAAACCCTCTTTCTCAAGTTCATATTACTAGGTTGGCCAGAAAGTCTTGACTCACTCAGGAAGCGGAAAGAAACACCAAAAACAAATAGTTATGCTTCAAAATAAAGTCCATCTTTTTCGGTGATATTCTGCCAGAAATCAGTCAGTATCCAAATCTGTGCCAGATTCCAGTCCGTTGGCTTTGAATAAAAAAAAATGTAAACAAGCTTTCTTCACTTCATCAAAAGTGTTGAATCGTTGGTTGCGAAGAAAGTTTACCATTGAGCTGAATAAGCCATAATCACACGGAGAAACATCGGGACTGAATGGTGGATGTGGAAGAATGTCAACACCGTCCATCTGTTTGAACCTCTCTTTAGTCAACCTGGCAGTGTGTGGCCTCGGATTGTCTTGCTGAAGCAAAGCCCGACCTCGAATGACCAAAGCAGAATACTCCTTTTTTAGTTTATCATAGACGCGGTCTCGCTGCTAGCAATAGAGTTTAGCGTTGATAGCGCGACCGTGTGGAACAAGCTCGAAATGCAGTACTCCTTGGAAATTCCACCAGAGATCAAGATTTTTGTTTTCTTTCCGTTTCCTAAGTGAGTCAGGACTTTCTAGCCCACCTAATACTTACTTCAACGGTCAGAGGCGATTAGATGTCGAAATCGGGCTAAAAAGTAGCAATAAAGGAAAGACTAGTCAAATATTGGTAATGAGATATTTAGTTATTGTGAGGCTAAGCCGACACGTTTTCCGCTTCGAAGCTAATTCAGTAGTAAGAAAGAATTAGCGAGAATTCCATAAAAGGGCAGAGACAGAGAAATTCCCGTCTATACACTCACAAGCGGAGGCAAAATTGCACAGCATGGGGAATATATCAGATTTTAACAATCTGATCATATGTACAACCACTTTTCTATGCATGGAGGCGTCTAGTTCGTCAGCTCGAAAACAAGCAAATCTCTAACATTTCAGATGGATGTGCGGATGGTGTAATGGATAGCTGCACGAAATGTGAACTCACAGAGCCGAGTTCTAATTCCAGTCAAATTTCTTATCTTCATTTATGCACAAATACCCTTGAGAAAGATATGAATCCACTTGTTCTCCCCCTAACTTTGGGTTAAATAATAAAACAGAATTCTGTTCTTTGATTGGTGGCCAGTCTAGATGATGGACAATTCTGAATTCAAAAACGTATGCAGCCCTGGCGACGCACATACCATCCAACTAAGTATAGATATACGCTACGATCAGCCTTTTCATTTCCTACAGGTTGGGAACTCGCATTGCGCAACACGTGCCTGCTTATTTGCGATCTTGTGGTCAGAATCGTATAATAAGAACCACTCAATTGTACAACATTTATTAGACAATCCTGACTGTGCCGCCGATTATAATGACACATCTTTCTCTATTTTACATGTAGCGCGCTCTGTCCTTAGTGTTCTCGAGGCTGTGTACATTAAATTTCATCAGCCGACCGCCTATGTAAGCAGAAGTTACACTTCATTCGTTCCTTGTGTTTGTTCAGGAGAATATGAATAAAATTGTTCTATTTTATACTGTTTTGGGACCGTTTATAATTTTGCTTTTAATTGTCAATTTGTATCATATTAAGATCTATTTTAATAGTGTTCCAATTTCCCCTCCTCATTCGCTATTTCTGCACGTGTGTCTACGATTATTTTGTTCTATTCGGCAATGTCCACCTTTTGATAAAGTGTTGGCCGAAAGGGTTTCCTTCAAGTTAAAAAGGTAAAATGGCGTCTTCTCTGTTTAAATCTATTTTCTTCTCCTGTGGGTTCAAGTTTTTATTTATTTATATATATATATATATATATATATATATATATATATATATATATATATAATGACAAAAAAGTACGCAGGTGTAAGCTTTAAGAAAGCTTTTTATTCAACTGGGAATGCAAGTATCGCGTATTGTGTCCTTTTATTGTCCCAGTAAATAGAAATAGCTCTCTCAAAAGGAGAGTCATGAAACAAGAGGAGACCACTTTTGATTATTCATAACAATAATTATGTATGTATGTATATATTGTGGTACTATTGTGGTCACCTGATCGAATTTTGAGCTTGATCGCACCAATTCCTTGCTGCTGTTACAATGTAAACATGGCCACTCCGCTAGCAGTGTTCACCAAGGAGGGACAAATATCGATGATCCGAATCTGCATAGAACATGAATGATAACTCTTCGGCTTGACATTATCATCTCTCGTCAGTGGTGGAGGTTGACGGGCGCCCTGTCCCTTCGTCGTGCGTCACGCTTTTCGGGCTAATTTTAAACTCTCGGTCCACTCATACACATTTCTACGCGGTAGTGCACTGTCGCCAGATACTGTTAAAAGCCTCTTATAAATTTCAGCCCCTGATACATCTTCCTAACAGAGAAAACGGATCACTGTTCTTTCTGTACAATTTATCAGCAGCAAGTAACTTGGAGCCATCAAGCTCAAATTTCGATCACGTGATCACAATAGTACCAACGATAAGCACACATCAACAGAAGGTAGAATGACAAACTTATGGATAAGTTATCGCGAAAGTGCGTATAAATTTTACTCGTATAAATAAATTAATTATAAGTAGACAGCGGTTTTTCCTTTTAACAAGTTTTAGTAAAAAGGATAGTTTTTCCCTAGGTACATGTTCTTAGTTTTTTTTTTTTGTTTGTTTTTTTACCCTTTTTTTACCCTTGGGTATTGGTTTGTTCATTTACAAGCTAAAACACCTAAGGTTTTGCCGGACGAGTATAGTTGCTTATATTTATAAGATTATTAGTATTATATTAGATAGATAGATAGATAGATAGATAGATAGATAGATAGATAGATAGATAGATAGATAGTGGACTCTCCCGTCGTATGAGAGTCAAGCAGCTCAGTTCCTAGGACAGACACCTGCACATATGATTTGATTATAGGGGTGAAGGCTTTGTTCAGAACCAAGAAAACTTTTTGAAGGGCTGAATACAGAGACCTCGTGCTCTACTCCAAACGTCCCTCCGCAGGTTTTGTATCTAGAGTTGTCTTTCTCCCAGACCAGTTACAATCCAATGCTATAGAACCCAGTCTATCCTGATATTTGCCCATAACTGAAAGGAGAAGAAGAGAATTAATACCTCTTCCAAGTAAGTGGATGTAATGGATTCAACGTAAGTGGATGTAATGGATTCAACTGAATTCGAACTCGGCTCTCCGATTCCTCAGTCCGAGCCGCTATCCAATACTTGGCTGTTATTTATTTATTTATATATATATATATATATATATATATATATATATATATATATATATATATATATATATATATATATATATATATATATATATATATATATATATATATATATATATATATATATATATATATATATATATATATATATATATATATATATATATATATATATATATATATATATATATATTTATACATATATATATATATATATAATATATATATATATATAATAT